CCTGAGATTGCTCAGTTTTAGAATAATGATTTGGTGAGGACTAAATAGTTTAGATGCCATTTATGGAATTTAGTATTTTCGATATCCATATCCAAATAGATTTTAGTATACCTCATCCTATTGCCCTAGAGTGGATTCTAACTCACAGTCTCCCTGCAGAGTTTCCAAGGCAAAGCTATGAATTTTTACAGAAGCCAACTGCCATGTATTTCGCCTGATAAGGACAGAGGCGGCAGATTGAGAGCCTTGCGTCCCTGATGGGGCAGATCTTTTCTGTCACCAAGGGTGCTTGTGGGTTGGAATGGACTCCATAGGCATGGCTTTCTTATGCATTTATTTTGTGTCTTATGGGATGAGACGAGTGTGTTGACTAATATTAAAACAGTGTGCTTCAAACATTTCAAATCCTTCCTTGGTGATACTCTGTTGTTGTTGTTGTTGTTGTTGTTGTTGTTTTTTAATTAAATTGATCTCTCAAGGCAGCTAGGCTATTATAGCTGTAATTCACTTATCAGAATGTGGCAGACAGATGACAGTCTTTTATTGTCTTTCCCCTCCCACTCATCTACAGAGATAAAAAATTACTTAGGATGGGACGTTGCAATATTGTGGGACTCTTGGATACAGAAAGAGAGCATTCAGTTACTTGAGGCTTTTCTCAGGCTCTTACAGGTCATTAATCAAAGAGGAAACTTTAAGCACTGCTTCTTGGTTTTGCTTATTTCCTTTCTAGGACATCGTGCATGGATGGAGGAGAATCGCAGATAAATACTCTACATTTTTTAGCTTCTGTAACTTCCATGAGTCTGGCTGAGAAATGCTTTCATTTCATAGTCACTTTGTACGATTGGAGTCTCTGGGTTGTACAGATATGTAATACACATTAACTAGGAGCTTGGAAGTTCAAGTCATCCCTAAGGCATCGTGGGGGAAACACCTGGCATTTTTGTTCTAATAGATGTATATATATTAGACCCCTCTTGTGTCAGAATAGAACTCTGCATATAAGATAGATTGATGATGATGATAGGTAGATAGATAATAGAATATATGTATTCCTCATTTAAAGCTCTATGAAGCATTGTTATATTCTGACACAAGTGGGATCAGGGCACCATGAATCAGAACAAACTCAAAAGCTACGGCTTATGTTTTCACTACTTGGTATTTGAATAGAAGCCCCTACTAGATCCTTAATAACATGGTTTTCCACTAGAAATTTGGGAGAATGACTCTGACAATAAGGAAACGACCACTGGGTGATCCTGTTCTACTTTTCCCAGTGCCGAACTAAAGCAGCTGCTGAAACAAGAGAGTTCTGGAGGCAAGACTATCTGACAATGTGAACTAAATATGAAGCAATGTGATCAAGTTGATTTACATAAAAATACCCTGGAATCCCTGCTACACAGGAACATGTCAATACATGACAATTAATAATAATCGTGAGATGAGAAGTAAGAAGAAGAAAAATGTTTAAAATGCTGGATGCAATTGGGGGAGATGTTTTAGCAGTGGTCACCTGGTATTTTCTGGAATTTTCAGAAGTCTGTGTCAAGGCACAGGCCAAAGATAAGCTCTCAGGTTAAGGTGTAAATAAAGGCACAAAGTTATATAATGTAAAGTATGCTCTGTTGGTGATCTAAAATCAAGGGTCTGTTGAGGTGAGAAGAGAGAGTAGCTGGTGCAGCTAGAGAAGTGACTGATGGTAGAAGGGGAATGCCTTTGATTGCCATGGAAAGGCATTTAGGTTCCATTTCTAGGGCCTTGGGGAACTAGGGATATA